GTGCTCTTTCTCTAGACCGGTCGACCGACTGTCGACCTCTGCCGTTCTGAGTTCAGGCTTGGTGGACTACCTGAACAACCCCACCACGTACGACGGCGCCGTACTCAGTGTATGCGAGTCGCACGAGCGTGGCAACTGATGTTCCTTGCGCCTGCAACTTTTTGCCTCGTAAGGTCTGAAGGACATCTCCGAGGTCCACCCATCCATCAAGGGCGGCGACATCTGGCCGAAGATGCGGTCCATGAAGCAGCAGGAGTGGGGCCAGAACTTACAACCTTCAACAGAGGGCGGCTTGCAGTCCTCATGCTGCTGATTGCCTTCTAAGTGTGTGTGTGTGTGTGCGAACCGTGTGAGGACTTGCTCAGACCTCAGAATTTGTTGGCGTCTATCTAATTCTCTGCCGCTGACTCAGCCAGCTGAGTTCAGGTACGACATGTCTGCGTACATCTTGTATCAGAACCAGACCATCCCGGAGAAGTGGGGTGGTAGCCTCGGGGTATCTTGGGGCAAAAGGCTTGAGTACTCGCATACGGAAATGCCTATGAGCTGAGTGGTTGAGGCGGTGGCAAGACGTACTACTGAGCAGTCAGGCACTGCACATGCATGATGATGCTGCGGTCTTGGATATGTCGTTCTTTGTGAGGCAGTCTGAGCAAGAGGCCCGAGAAGTGCAGCCGGTGAGGGCAGGTACTTTATTCCCCGCCCGCACCGCAAGCTGGACAAAAGGTTGTTTGCTTCTTGCTGTGCTCTGTCTCTGCTCTTCCTTATCGCCCAAAGTTTACACCTACAGCAGTTCATGCTGTCTTGCTTGTTTCCGTGAGGACAACCGCGACGTTCACAGCCGCGTTGCGTCCCAGGAGGCCTGTGCCTGAATCAGCAAGTCAGCTCATATAGACTTGCAGTATAAATCAGTATAAAGCATGTGGTCGACATCCGCCGGCATTTCAAGAGAAGTGGTAGGTGAAGGTGTGTGCCTGTGTGGTTAGAATGGGAGTCTGGCAGTCCGTTGCAAGCCCTGCCAGTGGTGTGCATGCAGAGCCCGCCGACCCTGACATTCTCATCTGCGGGGCTGGCATCGCCGGTTTAGCCTTGGCCAGAAAATTGGAGCAGTTAGGCTTCAAGTCCGTTTGGATTCTGGAAGCCGACGACTGCCTGGAGAGTCGCGCCCAAGGGTACAGTTTAACCATACAGCAGCCTGGTCAAAAAGCCTTGAAGAGACTTGACATCAAAGCTAGAAGTGCATTCTAGTCCTCCTATAATTACGAATTCATTTAGGAGCCGGGTGTCTCAGTTTGGTCGAGTGAGGAGTCTTGGCCTCCTGGATGCGGTGCGAAGCTGCTCCAAATTTGGCGGTGGAGGCCAGCATTTCGTGAATGCAGTGGAAGGCTCGATCATTCGAAGCGTGGGAGTGCGGTCTGGCCCTCCGAAGCGCAACACTCGCTGCAATCTCTATGTTCCTCGCCAGACGCTCCGGAGTCTTTTAGCGAGGTCATTAACATCCACCAAAATTCTGTTTTCGGCAAGGGTCGAGTCGTTCCAGGAGTCTGATGAGCGTGTGACGGTTGAGTCGAGCAGCGGTCGGAAGCTGTCCTGTGCCTTGCTAGTGGGGTGCGACGGTGTCAATTCAGCCGTGCGGAAGCATAAGCTCTCGGACAGCCTTCGGTTTCTCGGCGTGGGAATGATTAATGGAATCGCAAGCTCCAGCCCGGCTTTCTGCGATGCCGGCAGCCTGCACCTGCTGGACGGTACTCGTCGCTTGTTCATGAAGCCCTTTGAAGCCGGGGCCATGTGGCAGCTTACCTTTCCGGCAGAGATTGGGCAGATTGAAGCGATCCGGGCTTTACCGAAGCACGAGCTACACGCCTTGGCCGAATCAGAAACCTCCTCTTGGTGCTCTGAGTACAAGGCCATCATACAAGAGACCGATGCATCGACTTTACGGGCAGGTGCTCTCTTTGACCGTGACCCGCTCTGCTGCGCAGCACACGTTGGCGCCCGGACCGCTGTCATTGGTGATGCTGCGCATCCCATGACACCTTTCATAGGCCAAGGGGCCAACCAGGCCATGACGGACTCCATACAGCTCGCGGAATCTTTGTCTTCATGCAGGCAGGGAGCCCGAGATGCAAATTTCTGAAACGGCATGAGCCACTACCTTAGCAGTCCCGGTCGCCCTCGCTCGCACAGTGTGAGCCCCTGCAGGGATGCGACTGGACGACTCGATGCCTCCTCAGTCCGGGTCGCATTTGAGCCAGAGGGTCCGAGATGTGGTGAAGTCTTCACTTCATGCATGCTGACTGCACCGGAGGAGCATTTCCAATTTGCGACCCCGAAGTGCCACAACCGGCACGAACGCGAGAGAGGGAGAGGCCGCCAAACGGAAACGTGACAAAGACACGCAAAGGCAATACGCACCGAAAGAGCGAGGGAGCGAAATTATTCGAGGTGTGTGAAAGCTGAGGTCGGCGTTGTAAGCCGTCCATTCAGAATTAAGGCTAGTTTTTTTTTTTCGAGTCCGTTGTAAGATGTTGTAAACCAACAGAGAAGGATGCTTCTCTTCTTGGTCCCGTACTGGCTTCATTCCACCAGAGCATGGCCAGCAGAGTGGCACCGCATGCCTCTCGGCCCAATTTTGAAGGGACAGGGGGGACAAGCTTTTGGAGAAATTCTGGTGGTTGTACGTCGTCATGTGTGAGACCGATTCTCGTAATTGCTCGGCGAAGAGCAGCTTGGGCGGTTCTGACTCTGCCCTATGACTCTGGGGATTTCGGCGCAGCTCAGGTCCAGGAATCCCGTCGGCGGGCACACTTTTGCCACACCCCTGGTGCTTTGGGTAAGGGGAAATGTACATCATAAAAAATCCATCGCACACCGCGTTGCGACGTGTACAGTGTACAGTAAAGCTCAGGGGCCAGCTTAGTGGATATCCCCGCAATCTGCTGACTCACTATCGACCGACCATTACGCAATTCTGCATGACGCCTGTCGGAAAATGCCGGAAACGAGAAACAGCTGATTGAGGGCAGTTGGCAGCAGATTTCAGATTTCAAGCACGGGGTTAGAAGGTAATTGGCGGCAGAAACATGACAGTCAGTCTGCCTGCAAATTCTTGTGACGTGCAGGAACAAATCAGAGCTCTTCGCACGCTCTTTGAGACGCGCGAGGCCACCCGAGCTATCGTGAGTGTGCCTTGATGACTTGCACCCATCGAACCTGTCGCAAGCTTTCTGGCTACTTGTTGCATCTTGTTACAGAGGAGCACTTGCGCCTCCTGGCAGAGCGTGTAGAGCGAAGCGACTGGGACGTGAAGCTTGAGCAGATCCGGCAGGCCAGCGACTGAGATTGAGCATTGCAAGCTCGTGAGATTCTGAGTCTGGGGACTCGGCAGGCACTGCAGGACAGCAACAAGCAGAGAACTCTAGAAGCCGAAAGGCTTGAGCTTCTCTCGAAGAAGCCGGATCCTTATTCATCAAAGTCTGATCTGCTTGCACGAACAGTGACAGAAAGTTGTTGCCAGGGTGGAGGACCAAGAGCAAGTCCACGACGACCTTCAACGGGCGGACAGCTTTAAATGTTTGCTTTCAGTTAGATTTGAATTTGGGTTCCTCAGGGCCAGGGAGCTCCAACTCAACTTTCGCCAAGGAGCTGGCCTCTCATGCCAGCGGCAAGCAGGTGGGAAGAAGCATGGGCGGGTCGGCAGAGGGAGAGTGTTTGTGGTGCGACGTGGTGTGTATTGAGGACCTGGCTGATGCAGACAGATTTTGCGAAGTGGGGCTAAGACTGGTGCGACAACAGGATGCTGAAATGGCGGCTGCCGTCGCAGGGCTGGAGGCAGCTTGCGATTTTGGCGCGCAGTTCTTTTATCTCTCGTGCGATATGGCTGCTGTAACAGGGTCTTCATCAGTTGTGCCGATCTGCGCTGCAGGATCAGCTTAAAACCCTCGGCTTGGAGCTGCAGGACATCCAATCGCATGCGCCAACTCGCAGCTAGATAATTTCTCGGAAGAAGACGACACTTGCTCCTCTGCAGCATTGCCCACAGGGAGGCGGATGACCCCGACTGTGGGAACGAATCCTCAAAGCAAGAACCCTTCTGTGTGTCGAGCCGGGAGCCGCAGCTAATGGAAAACAACCCTGAGAGCAGGCGACTTTCGAGAGATTCTCGCCACTCAACGGATCGAGACTACAGACAAGTCATGACAAGTCAAACTGTCGCTGTGTTGTTTTGCGCATCGCAGTGGCGGCGGGCGCACCGCAACTCCAGGAGCTGAGAGATCATGATGATCTCGGTCCACGCGTGGCCGACTTGCTCTCACAACTACGGGACCGAGAATGTGCATTACTCTCATCTTTGCCTTGCTCAATGCCATTTCTACTCTGAAAATCCTGAGCGACTTCATCTGCTAGGAGATTGCTCCCAAGGTCAGTAACTCGGGACATGCCAACAAGACCTGCTCGAATTGGTGGCCCAGCCATGCAGGTCATAGAGCAGGAGAAGTCCATCAGGTGCAGCCTGCTTTGACATGCAAGAAGCAGCTTCAGAAGGATTTGACTTGGGGCCTGTAATTGGCAGAGTGCGAGGCTGCTGCAAACCAGCGAGCCTTTCCAGAAAGAGATCCGCTTGTTGCAGGAGGAGGACGGGTGCATGACCAAATTCTTGGAGCTTGTCCGGTCTTGGTGCCGCTCCTGTCTGCGTTTTGGACCTGTCCCGAATCAGATTGGCACACTGCGATCCAGCATTGCCTCCAAGAGTTCCTCCAGCAGCTCGCCGAGCAGCGGAGCCCCTGCAAGCTGCTGATGTTTGTGTTGAGACCTCAGGCACAGATGCAGTGTCTGAAAAGATAAAAGAGGCTCAGGGTTACTGATGTTCTCCAAGACTATCTGCTCCCCAACACACCTGGACCTGGCATGCAAAGCAGCAGGAACTGATGAAAAGCCACGCAGAGCTGCGTGAGCAGATGGCGGCCTCCGCCCAGGTTTCTTCTGAGCCTTTGCACTTCCGGCCGTGCCTTTACATGCCCTGTAGGTGACGTCGCAGCTCCGCGAGCTTCAAGAGACGACAGCCACAGACCTGAGGCAACAAGTCGGGGAGCCTGCAGCCAAGCTGCACCGCATTGCCACCACCTTCGTCTTGCGGCCCCTCCTCCACTCCTCCTTCACTCCGAGGCTGAAGACCAGATGCGAGAACGCTGTGGAGAAGGTTCAGACGGAGTGGAAAGACCACCTCACAGGCCAGGGGCGGCGCTGCTCAGGCCAAGCCTCGTGGCGACTCGTGACCAGGACTGGAGAAGAGTTTCAAGCAGTTCAAAGCTGAGGCTCACAGCCAGGAGGACTGCTGCTCTCAGAGAAAAAAACCGTCGTGATTCGGCTCTCACATTTTTCACAAATATTTTCTTTGTCAAAGCATCAGGAGAGCCTGCAAAGCCTCCAGTCGCAGCTGGCACCTCTGAAGGCGCGACCCGAATTCCCGCTAGCATGCTCAAGCACGGCGTGTTGTCTCAGGCTGACGGCCCTGACGAGAAGTGGCTTCAGCTCCAGCAGGACGGATTCCGGGCAACGACCGAGTTCAAAGAGAACGAACGCCACACAGGATGTGTCAGGCGAGCTCAAGGAACATCGGCACAGAACAGAGGAGAGCCAGAAGGACACGGATGCTTCACACAGCGACGAGATACTTTCCTTCGTTGGTGCAGCGCCAGGAGTTGGCATCTGAGCTGTACCGGTTGGTGGATCAGAGCAAGTCGGAGGTCAGGACAGAGCTTGCCAAAGCCTTGAAGGCAGGGCTGCAGACACCAGAGCACCGTGGACTTTTGTCGCACGTGATACTGCCAGGCTGTCCAGGGGCCTGAGCTGGAGCTACAGGAGCTGCTGATCACAGCGAGAAAAGAGTTGAAGGGCGAGCTTGAAACTCTCCAGGACCGTGCAAGCCAGTGCAACAAGCCTACACGATCCTGAACTCACCATCTCTCTTGGGAGGATCTTCGCAGCAACATGGAGGCAGCAGCTGCTGAAGACTCCAAGGCTCGGAAATCCGAGGGCGAGACCTGAACAAGTGTCGTGCTGCAAGAAGGTCGCTGGGGCTCAGGCGACGGAGTTTCGACATATCTTCGAGCAGCATGCAGCCCAACTGAAGTCCATGGAGGCGGTCATGTTGGAGAGTTGGCTCAGTCTGTTCTCCTCGCATCTCGCAGGCTCAGCTGGAGTGCCAGAAGACTCTCAAAGAGGAGCTCGACAGTGCCAAGGCGACATCATGATGTTTGTGTGGACAAAGAATCGTGCATGCAAGTTTCTGTGGCTGGCGTGGTTTTGCAAAGAAGTGCAAAGTGCAATTGTCAGGACCAAGTGGCCGAGCTGCAGAGTAGCACGAGCGTCGGAAGCTGAAGGAGAAGCGTGTGCATGAATGATGAATGCCCTGCTATGACCTGCTGGTAGCAGGCAAAGAGTGTGTGCGCATGTTTTTCTACCACACGGGTTCTGGTCAACCTGTCTGTCGCAGCTCATCTACGTAGATCAATTCCAACCCTCTTGTGTGCCATCACCATGTGTAGCCATGGTCACCAAATTGCTCGATGAGCCTTTTCTGCTCCGGCACGGCTGGAGTGGGCCAATTTGCAGCTGGGGTATGCGCCCGTCGGCGTGCGGATGTGGGCCGTGTGGAGTCTTGAACTTCCAGACCGCTCAGCAACCTGCTTGTTGATGTCTCGTTCCGCTGTTTGTCTTTGCCTACAAGTAGCACCAGCCATCGTGCGCATTCTCCTGCTCACTAACTTGTGATTTCAGGCGATCTGCACCGGCAGCGGCGTCTCGACAATCCAGAAGACCCAGGTGTTCTCACGGACTTGTGCTTTGTGGCATGTTCCAGCTGGCACCTAGAAGGCAATGTCAGAGGAAACAAGATTCCTAGACCTGACCCATGCGGGGCTGCTGGGGAACTCAGGTACAGCATCGTGCTAGGAGTCGCGCTCCTCGAAAAGTGGAGGGAGGAGCAGCGCCCTTCAGACTCGCCCCAGCCGCCCATGGATGTGAACGTGGCCAGGACTCGATGCTCTCCAGCCAAACGGCAACCTCGGGCTTTCGGTGCGGCAAGAGGTAGAAGATCGCTTGAGCACATTGAGAGACAGGATGGCTGCTATCCGACAAGGGGACAAAGCTGCCCTGCAAAGGAGTTACCGAAATGGTTCAGAGGCTTGGTCTTGAAACTAAGGTCGATTTATCTGATTAGAAGGAAAGGTTTGGAGTGGTAGATCTAGAAGTTTGGAGTTGAAAGTGTGCCAAGGAGCTTCATGGCTCAGTACTCTGGTGCGACTCCGATCCAGAGGTGGCTTCCTGCGCTGACGTGCTCCGAGGATCTGGGCTGGCACTGCGCACCTTCACTGAACCTGAGGCTCGCTGGCTGCCGCTCGTACAATCAGGGTGGCCGCCAGCTAGGGACGACGTGCCGTGTCGCAGGCTCTGCTGGAGGCGTACGATGCCTTTCCACAAGACGTGCTTTGCATCATGTCTTCCATGATGGAGGGCAACGGACGGAAGGAGCGCAGGCTCGTCGGTTGACGCACGGCAGGCTAGCCGTGCCTAGCCATGCAAGCAGCCACTGAATTGCGGCCTGCAGGAGCGTGGTGCCATGAATGCCTTCGGCCTTTTCTCTGCAATTCGCAGCCGGGTGAAGGCGACAGAAGGCTTGGAGCAGCCGCTCTTGGCAGTGATCTCTTGTTCTGCAGATGAGAATGCTGCTCGTGCAGCAGGCCGGCCGTCGAACTTCTCTCGTTTCCGGTTTTTTTGAGCTGTTTGAAGATGCGGAAATCCGCAGGTGCTGAAATTGTGGTTTTTGGCAGCCGGGCCAAGGCTCAAAATCTGGTCGCCGCTTAGCTCCTATAGGGGGGCTCCCAGCGAAGCTCCCCAGCGAAGGGTCCCAGCTGTGCCCCTTATGGAGCGAAACTTGCCTCGGAGGTCACCAGGCTGCGCAAATCTCTTGGTCTCCAAGCGGGCTACGTCGGGAAGTGAGCAGGCAGATGCATGACGACAAAGACCTTTCCCTGAAGCAGGGTGAGTGAACTCATGACTTTGCACATCTTTGCAACATCTAGCCATGCAGAGCTGCGAACCGCCAAGAGGAGGCCGAGAAAAACAGAGGAGAGCACCTACAGCCGTGCATCGTGATGCACAATGGCAGTCGCCGAGCAACGCTCGAAATGATCGTCATGTGCCGAGGCTTTGAACATGCCGTCTGAGCGGATCGAGGCCCGTGCAGGTACTGGAGGTCTGACACAGCAGGTTGCAAAGTGCCTGTGTTTCGGATCCAGCTGCGACGTCGTCAGGCCACTAGGACCTCTCTGAACGCTTTGGAGCACGACGTGGCTGGCCTGAAGGTAGCAACCGTATGAGACGGTCGGGGCACTCGCCAACAGACCTGCTCCTATGTCAGACCAAACTCAACGCCACTCCGGCATCGCAAGAGTCGGTGGAGGAGCTGAAGGTTGTCGTCAAAGGATTTCAGGCTGATCTCACACTTCATGCCTGGAATGTGCTCTGCTGCGTGAACAGCAAGTACGAGTGCCGAGTGCTGCGCACAGGATCGCTTGGAATCAGCCGCCTTGAAAGATGAGGTCCGAGCCAGACTTATCATGCCAGCTTGGTCTTTCTGCAGTGAGGTGACCCATCTTTCTGAGCGTGTCAATGCGCTCATTGCGGCACAGTTCAAAAAGTCAGGATTGCTGCTCAGCTGCTGCTCCTCATACGGGTAGTGCGGCAGCGGAGTGAAGTGGGGCAGCAGGTGGCCAGAGGCAAGACCTGGAAGAGGAGTTTGAGAACCTGGCCGCAACCTTGCAAAAGGATCGCTGAACGCAGACTGCGGGTTGGTTGTTGTTGGCGCTTTCAGTGATCGAATCCCGTTAGGACGAAGAAGCAGAGTCTGTTGCCCACACCAGGCTGCGATCTCCGCCAAGGGAACTTGAGAACTTGGTTTTCGTGACTCTTGGGAGGCTGCTGTTGAGAATCGACGAGCTTTGTCGCAACATCTCGAAGGCATTTACACCTGCCTCACCCTGCCTCGTCGACTCGTTGTTGCCTTCCAAGTGCAGGCCACCGACGGTGGGGCTAACGACTGGGTGGGCGCCTCCGGAGTTGGGTCAGGGGGAGCCTCAACGACTTGAAGAGACACGGCCAGCTGTCAGGCCTCGAAGTTTGCCTCCTTGGCACATCAGGTTGAGGCGCGTGCTGGGGACCTCGGGCAGCTAACCTGAAGCCTTGGGGCTCGAAGGAGATGCAGAAAGCTGAGAAGCAAATGGAGGTCTGTCCGCAACGTGTCCCAACTCCGCTTTTCATGGACAGGCGGCTTGGGTCATTGCCAATGCAACTCGCTGCCAGGTGCAGCTCGCGAGTTTTGTGTCCGCCCTGGAAGTTGCGTGCGCACGCGAAGTGTCGAGGGCATGCTCGGTAAGGTCTCGAAGCTTGCTTGAGCCACGCCTCGCCACCACACGGGAAAGCTGAAACGACGAAGTGCGTCGCCTCAAGCTTTCGAAGCTCTGGGGACCGAAGCGGTTCCAAGAGCCGCCATAATTCGTGATTGAGAGAGTCTTGAGATTTTCTCTCACACTGTACCTTATCTCGCTTTAGCTAGGAGCTTTGCACATAGCAAATGCGCGCCTCCACAACCTCCGAGATTTTGCAGTTGATCGGTTCTGATAATGGTTTCAATCTAGGCCCCGAGACATGCTGTCGCTGCAAACAGGCCATGCGAGACTTGTACCACGAGGTGAGCCAGCGTGTGGGAAGCTTAGTGCGAGACAGAGCGAGGTAAGTGAAGGCAAAGGAGAGAACGCACTTGCATTCTTGTTGTTTTCATAATTGGTAGTTAGTGAGTAAGAGAGTTTCTTAGTTCGTCAGTCAGTTAGTCAGTGAGTTTTTGAGCTGGTGTCCGTCACTCAGTTAGTGAGTGAGTTAGATTTTTGCTTGATGGTATATGTGTCTTGGTTCAGATAGCTAGTTAGTTTCTAAGCAAGTCATACTTACCTACTGGCCTACTCAGGATGACTATGTGTCACATCATTGCTTTTGCTGTATTGCGATTGCTGCCGTCCGAATTTAAGCCTCCAACTTCTTGTCTCCGCTCTCCAGTAGATTACCTTTCACCTGCGGAGTTGCCTGTTCTCTGCCTTGCTTGTCGGTTGCTTGTGAGTTGTGTTTCTTTGCAGGGCGGCTGTTTCTTATCACCCGCCTCTGTCAAACGAAGTTGACTGGCACCTCGAAATCATGCATGGGTATGAAGAGGATGCATGTGCGGCATACAACTGAGGCGCGAGCATGTATGTAAACATATCAAGCGACGGCCCTCGCCGTATATACGGTGCAGCGTCGCCCTCCCCCCATCCCCCCCATGGTTACCCCCCCCCCCCCTTACCGGCCCTAT